AAATAGATGTCAGGGTGTGGAAGAAAGAGCACTTAACTTGGAGTTGGAAGACTGATGGACAGTTCAGCTTGGTAGTAATGAGTCTAGGCTTTGGAGCTTGGATGCCTAGATTTGAATAGTGTCTATGTGACCCTATAGCTGAGATGGGCTTGTTGCAAGGAATAAATGAGTTAATGTGTAGAGCAATGCCTGGCCCACGGTAAAAACAATGAGCCTTAAGAAGACTTGACCAGCCAGGCGTGGTGGCTCACGCCTGTAATCCTAGCACTTCGGGAGGCCGAGGCAGGTGATCACCTGAGGTCAGGAGTTCAAGACCACCCTGGGCCACATGGTGAAACCCTGTCACTACGAAAATACAAAAATGAGCCAGGCACAGCAGCACATACCTGTAATTGCAGCTACATGGGAGGCTGAGACACGAGAATCACTTGAACCCAGGAGGCGGAGGCTGCAGTGAGCCAAGATTGAACCTCTGCACTCCAGCCTGGGTAACAGAGTAAGACTCCATCTCATTTACTAGCTTTGCCACTTAGCTTATTCTTAAATTGCTTCAGCTTTTGTTTGTACTCATCTGCAAAATGAGGGAACAGCACAAAGTCATCCCTCAGAGGCTGCTTTTTTTTTTTTTTTTTTCTTGTTTTTGAGACGGAGTTTCACTCTTGTTGCCCAAGCTGGAGTGCAATGGCGCAGTCTCGGCTCACCACAACCTCCACCTTCCAGGTTCAAGCAGTTCTCCTGCCGCAGCCTCCCAAATTGCTGGGATTACAGGCATGTGCCACCACACCTGGCTAATCTTTTATTTTTGGTAGAGACCGGGTTTCTCCATATTAGCCAGGCTGGTCTCAAACTCCCAAACTCAGGTGATCCGCCCACCTCGGCCTCCCAGAGTGCTGGGATTACAGGCATGAGCCGCCAAAGTAAAACTTTTACTAATGACTCTAGGACTTAGGACCAACACAGACTTCCTGGGGATGATGTTAGAGAGCTCTGGCCACCTATGGCTAAACCTTCCTGTGTGTTTTGGGTGGTTGGGAGAGTGTGAGAGGCTGTGCTTATGAGTTAATTATTTTTCTTCAGATTTTCCATTTTGAAGGATCTATGCTAAAATCTTGTTAACAGTGGTTAACATGGATTGGACTAGGGCTGGTTTTAATTTCCTTTTTTTGAGATGGAGTTTCACTCTTGTCGCCTAGGCTGGAGTGCAATGGCACAGTCTTGGCTCACTGCACCCTCCACCTCCTGGGTTCAAGCGATTCTCCTGCCTCAGCCTGCCAAGTAGCTGAGATCACAGGCGCCCACCACCATGCCTGGCTAATTTTTGTATTCTTAGTAGAGACAGGGTTTCACCATGTTGGCCAGGCTGGTCTCAAACTCCTGACCTCAGGTGATCTGCCAGCCTTGGCCTCCCAAAGTGCTGGGATTACAGGTAGTGAACCACCACATCCGGCCAATTTTCCTCGTATTTTTTCAAATTTTCTACATGAAAATTTATTTTATATACATATAATCAGAAATTTTATGAAAAAAAATTATTGCATATAGGGGGTATACTCAGCCTTTTCTAGTTATGACTATTGGGGGGCATCTAATTTAAGTTAATGCCCCTGATATTCAAATATACTGCTGTTGCCAACACTGGGCCACTGGCCATACAAACCTGTGCCAAAGTTTTCCTAGACCCACAGTGAGAAAAATAAATGACAACAGTTGATTTCTTATAATGCTGAATGTATTCATCTTAAAGAAGTTTAATTCGGGCCGGGTGCTGTGGCTCACGTCTATAATCCCAGCACTTTGGGAGGCTGAGGTGGGCAGATCACCTGAGGTCAGGAGTTCGAGACCAGCCTGACCAACATGGAGAAACCCTGTCTGTAATAAAAATACAAAATTAGCTGGGCGTGGTAGCGCATGCCTGTAATTGCAGCTGCCCAGGAGGCTGAGGCAGGAGAAGTGCTTGAACCCAGGAGGCAGAGGTTGCCGTGAACTGAGATCGAGCCATTTAACTCCAACCTGGGCAACAAGAGCAAAACGCCATCTCAAAAAATGTATAATTCTGAGATGATGTCCTTCCTACTCTTCTGGCATGAAATCTTTCTTGGAGTCCACCATGAGGTATCTTTCTCAATTTTGTTTTTTTCTGTAGAGATGGAATCTCACTGTTGCCCAGGCTGGTCTCAAACTCCTGGGCTCAAGCAGTCCTCCTGCCTCAGCTTCCCAAAGTGCTGGGATACAGGTGTAAGCCACTGCTCCTAGCCTAGTTACCTTTAAAAAAATTTTTAATTGTACTAATCAATGAAATAAACAGTCTGGGAAATGCTGAAATCTGGTGTTTTCTTCCTTTATTTCTGATTATGTAAAATTTTATTTATTTTCTTTTTTTGAGATGGAGGCTCGCTCTCTTGCCCAGACTGGAGTACTGTGACACGATCTCGGCTCACTGCAACCTCTGCCTCCCAGGTTCAAGCACCCACCACCACACCCGGCTAATTTTTTTGTATTTTTAGTAGAGGTGGGGTTTCACCGTGTTGGCCAGGATGGTGTCAAGCTCCTGACCTCAAGTGATCTGCCCGCCTCAGCCTCCCAAAGTGTTGAGATTACCAGCCGGAGCCACCATGCCCGGTTCCAGCTAATTTTTGTACTAAAAGTAGAGATGGGGTTTCGCCATGTTGGCCAGGTTGGTCTTGAACTCCTCACCTCAAGTGATCCTCCCTCCTTAGACTCCAAAGTGGTTGGATTACAGACGTGAGCCACCGTACCCAGCCTGATTATGTAAAATTTAAAATTAGCGAGACCTCATCTCTACTAAATAAATTAAATCTAAAAAATTTAAAGACATTCCTATTAATGGGTATTATTCATTCTTTATTACATTAGAATATGTGTAAAAGTAATTATTGGCAACATTTCTTTTGAAGGTATTTCAGGTAGTTTCTAGTCATTATTTTAGAGTACTCTGGATTATATAGCATTTTATTTATTTTATTTTATTTTTGAGACAGAGTCTCACTCTATTGCCCAGGCTGGAGTGCAGTGGTGCGATCTCAGCGCACTGCAACCTTTACCTCCCAGGGTCTAGCGATTCTCCTGCCTTAGCTTCCCAAGTAGCTGGGATTATAGGTGCATGCCACCACGCCCGGCTAATTTTTGTAATTTTATTAGAGATAGGGTTTCACCATGTTGGCCAGGCTGGTCTTGAACTCCTGACCTCAGGAGATCCACCCGCCTCAGCCTCCCAAAGTGCTGGGATTACAGGTGTGAACCACCATGCCCACCCTAGCATTTTAAAATTGTTCCAAATTATAGTTATGTTGAAATAGAGTCTTTGCATTCAGTCTGCTTTATTTCTCTTTCAAGACTTAGATTGGAGTCCCAAGAGTGGTGGATTAATAGAGTTGAGATTTTGTTGTATGCTCATCCCTGCCAGGAAAATAAGGCCCAAAATGTTAAATACAATTTGGAAGTAGCTAGCTCCATGTTTTTGAGTGGGCCATAATCAGAGGTATCAATCTTAAGGTACAGTCAGGGCACAAAGGAAAGTCATTTGCAGACTCACAGTACAAGGATGTTGATCATATGGAAACGCTTCCCTCATTACCAAATCATGGTCTCTAAAACCTTCTTGATATACTTGCAGGGGAGGGGGTGGGTGTGACTCTGCCACCATCATAAGATGGTTTGTCCTTCATTTGAAGTAACTGTAGGAATTGATTGCCCTCTGACATGTCACAAGCACTTGTCACAATTCCCTAGTTTGTGGGTCTCTAGACCCCTTCCTTGTCTGCTAGCTAATGCCTCTGTTAAACATTGGGAAGGAGATGTAAAAGGAGTTCAAATGCAGGTCTGTCCAGTTTGCTCACCCTTACCTCTGATTTGCTAGGGCTGGAGGTTGAAATAAGGTTTAGAGATTCACTCTCGATTTCATGAAGTCATGATCTGGTGTCCTTCCTTGGCAAAGTCAGTGTTGTAAGGATGTAATGTGTGTCAGTCAGCAGTCTTTCTCTCCAAATTTTCCTTAAGAAAAAAAAAAAAAAAACCGGCCAGGCACAGTGGCTCACGCCTATAATCCCAGCATTTTGGGAGGCCAAGGCAGGCAGATCACCTGAGGTCGGGAGTTTGAGACCACCTTGACCACCATGGAGAAACCCTGTTTCTACTAAAAATACAAAATTAGCCGGGCATGGTGATGCATGCCTGTAATTCCAGCTACTGGGGAGGCTGAGGCAGGAGAATAGCTTGAACCTGGGAAGCAGAGGTTGTGGTGAGCTGAGATGGTGCCATTGCACTCCAGCCTGGGCAACAAGAGCGAAAGTCCATCTCAAAAAAGAAAAAAAAAAATTGAAAATTAAAAAAACCAAAAATCATTGAGAACTATTGTTAGTATTTTTTTAGAAGCAGTCAGTACCCAAAGCTAATTTGGGGGAGGGAGAAGAGTAGAACCAGTGCTTTCACACATACTAGTATCACATTGGACCTTTCTGACAATCCTATGAGCTAATCACATTAGTTGCAGCTAGAAGATTCACTATGCTGTGATATATGGCCCCTGGTACATGCAGATTGATACGACTTTTTTTTTTTTTTTTTTTTTAATTTTGAGATGTGGTTTCTTGTTGCCTGGGCTGGAGTGTAATGGCGTGATCTCGGCTCACTGCAACCTCTGCCTCCTAGGTTCAAGTGATTCTCCTGCCTCAGCCTCCTGAGTAGCTGGGATTACAGGTGCCTGCCACCATGCCTGGCTAATTTTTGTATTTTTAGTAGAGATGGGCTTTGGCCATGTTGGCCAGGCTGGTCTTGTACTCCTGACCTCAGGTGATCTGCCCACCTCAGCCTCCCAAAATGCTGAGATTACAGGCGTGAGCCACCGCGCCAGGCCCAATAGGACTTTTTAGGGGCGCATACGTATAGTACTAGACAAAGTGTTCATAGTGCATATGGTTTATGTTGTAAGAACGTCATGACACTGCACTTGTGAGATAAAACTGATTTATTATCTGTTTCAGATTATAAGCGCCATGGCTATGGCTAGTGTTAAATTGCTTGCTGGTGTTTTAAGAAAGCCAGATGCCTGGATTGGACTCTGGGGTGTTCTCCGAGGGACACCTGCGTCATACAAACTCTGTACTTCCTGGAATCGATACTTGTATTTTTCTAGTACCAAGTTACGTGCACCAAATTATAAAACACTTTTTTATAATATTTTCTCACTGAGACTCCCAGGACTTTTACTATCTCCAGAATATATTTTTCCTTTTTCCATAAGACTCAAAAGTAATATAAGCTCTACAAAATCTACTAAAAAGTCTCTGCATAAAGTAGATGAAGAGGATTCTGATGAAGAAAGCGATCATGACGAGATGAGTGAGCAGGAAGAGGAGCTTGAGGATGACCCTACTGTAGTCAAAGACTATAAAGACCTGGAAAAAGCAGTGCAGTCTTTTCGGTATGATGTTGTCTTGAAGACGGGGCTAGATATTGGGAGAAAGTGAGTATGATACACGTTTCATTATAAACTCACTCATAGTCATGTTATTTTAATGTAGCATTCCAAATCACTTGGCCCATATTATGGTGACGAATAACCACAATAAAAGGACCTTTATAGGTAACCTGTTTCAATTATTTCATTTTATAGAAGAGCAAACTGATTTCCAAAGAAGACAAGTGACTGCCTGCAAATCCCATGTGCCATATTAGAAAATTTGAATCTAAGACACAGTTGACTGTAAGATGAACCATTGATTTAATAACAGCTTCTTGAGGAGAAAATGAATCAATCACCATATTAGATGTATGTAGCAAGCATAAAATGCACCGGGATATTTCACAAATGCTATAATGTGAAACGGTACCTCGGCTGGGCACGGTGGCTCATGCCTGTAATCCCAGCACTTTGGGAGGCCGAGCTGCGTGGATCACAAGGTCAAGAGTTCAAGACAGCCTGGCCAATACGGTGAAACTCTGTCTCTACTGAAAATACAAAAATTAGCCAGGCGAGGTGGCAGGCGCCTGTAGTCCCAGCTACTTGGGAGGCTGAGGCAGGAGAATTGCTTGAACCTGGGAGGCAGAGGTTGCAGTGAGCCGAGGTTGCGCCACTGCACTCCAGCCTGGGCAACAGAGCAAGACTCCATCTGGAAAAAAAAAAAAGGTATCTCTTAGAATTAACAGCATGATGTATAATAAGATGATGGTTAAGAATGCAGGCTTTGGCCAGGCGTGGTGGTTCATGCCTGTAATCCCAGCACTTTGGGAGGCTGAGGCAGGCAGATCACAAGGTCAGGAGATCAAGACCATTCTGGCTAGTACGGTGAAACCCAGTCTCTACTAAAAATACAAAAAATTAGCTAGGCGTGGTGACAGGCACCTGTACTCCCAGCTGCTCAGGAGGCTGAGACAGGAGAATGGCATGAACCTGGAGGTAGAGCTTGCAGTGAGCTGAGATGGTGCCACTACACTCCAGCCTGGGCGACAGAGCGAGACTCCGTCTCAAAAAAAAAAAAAAAAAAACAACCAGAATGTGGGCTTTGGAGCCAGATTACTGCGGTTTCAGTCCTGGTTCTGTGTGACCTTGGGTTAGTTACTTAAACTTTCTGAGCCTCAGTTTTCTCATCTGTAAAATGAAGATGATAGAACCTAGTTTAGAGAGTGGTTGCTAGGATTGAGTGCGTATATATCTATCTCAAGCACTTATAACAGTGTCTGGCACATAGTAGGTACTCAATATATGCAGGCTGTTTTGAAGAAAATACTACGTATGTTCATGTATAATAGAGGTATTGAGTCTAACTTTTCAGATTTTTTTTTTTTTTTTTGAGACGGAGTCTCGCTCTCTGGCCCCAGGCTGGAGTGCAGTGGCGCGATCTCGGCTCACTGCAAGCTCCACCTCCTGGGTTCACGCCATTCTCCTGCCTCAGCCTCCCAAGTAGTTGGGACTACAGGTGCCTGCCACCACGCCCAGCTAATTTTTTTGTATTTTTCTTCATAGAGACAGGGTTTCACTGTGCCAGCCAGGATCGTCTCAATTTTGTGACCTCATGATCCGCCCACCTCGACCTCCCAAAGTGCTGGGATTACAGGCGTGAGCCACTACGCCCAGCAAAGATTTCTTTAGTATTCTGATTCCCTCTCTGCTAGATTAATTATGTAAGAATAGTGGCCTTTAGGCCGGGCTTGGTGGCTCAAGCCTGTAATCCCAGCACTTTGGGAGGCCGAGACGGGTGGATCACGAGGTCAGGAGATCGAGACCATCCTGGCTAACACGGTGAAACCCCGTCTCTACTAAAAATACATAAAAAACTAGCCAGGCGAGGTGGCAGGCACCTGTAGTCCCAGCTACTCGGGAGGCTGAGGCAGGAGAATGGCGTGAACCCGGGAGGCGGAGCTTGCAGTGAGCCGAGATCTGGCCACTGCACTCCAGCCTGGGCGACAGAGCGAGACTCCGTCTCAAAAAAAAAAAAAAAAAAAAAAAGGTGGCCTTCATTGTTCATTTATTCCCTTAGGAATGATTGCATGCATATTGTATACAATGTAAGAATTGTGATATGAATAAATGCAGAAAAATGTCTTGTGTAGGTAGTTCCTTTATGACCTAATGTAATGTCATAGTTTAATTTTTTAATCCTTGAAGCTTAAGAGATTCATAAAAAGGGCTGGGCATGGTGGCTGACGCCTGTAATCCCAGCATTTTGAGAGGCCGAGACAGGTGGATCACGAGGTCAGGTGATCCATACCATCCTGGCTAACACAGTGAAACCCCGTCTCTACTAAAAATAGAAAAAATTGGCTGGGCGTGGTGGCGGCGCCTGTAGTTCCAGCTAATCAGGAGGCTGAGGCAGGAGAATGACGTGAATCTGGGAGGCGGAGCTTGCAGGGAGCCAAGATCGCGCCACTGCACTCCAGCCTGGGTGACAGAGCGAGACTTCGTCTCAGAAAAAAAAAAAAAAGAGATTAATAAAAATGAGCCAGCCCACAGGCCCTGCCCTTGGCATTCTGATTAGGGTGCCATTAGAGAATGTTCTCTAAACTCTGTAAACTCTGGCAAACTAATAAGGAGGCCTCTCCTCTCCCAGAGTAGAAACTGCTGCTGTTATTATTAAGCCGAGCTCCACATGTCAGTCACCTGGAATCAGATCATCAAAAAGAAAGGGTGTACTGATTTTTGGCTGCTTCCTCCCCTAGTCTTGTTGCCCCAGTGACTTAAGTTCAGAGAGAACAGCAGCTGTCAGATTGGAATAACTGGCAGAGGGTTTCTTAATAGCCTTGCCATACACGTGGTGCCTGGTTTTTCTCTCAGTGTACAGAGCAGGTATCTGAGGGAAAGGCAGTGCCCACTCACTTTGGCTGTCGTGAATCACCAGAGCTGCAGCCTGGCCGTGTAATCTCTGCACTGGGAGTCAGGTGGAGTACCTCAGGCCCCTGTCCAGAATGGAGCTTGACATGTATGCTAAAACCTCTCTTAAGGCTCCATCCAACTAACTGCCCAAATCTTTGCAGCAGTTCGACATCTATTTAGAAATGGCCTTTGGTCTCCCTGTTTTAGATACACACCAGAGCAGGTGACTTTCAGTTTCCCAGGACTCAAAATGGAGACTGTGGAGAATCACTGTCAGAGTAAACATTAATGGAGGGCTGGGCGTGGTGGCTCACACCTGTAATCCTAGCACTTTGGGAGGCCGAGGCGGGCGGATCACGAGGTCAGGAGATCGAGACCATCCTGACTAACACGGTGAAACCCCGTCTCTACTAAAAATACAAAAAAAAAAAAATTAGCCTGTCGTGGTGGCAGGCGCCTATATTCCCAGCTACTTGGGAGGCTGAGGCAGGAGAATGGCGTGAACTTGTTAGGCAGAGCTTGCAGTGAGCCAAGACCGCACCACTGCACTCCAGCCTAGGCAATGGAGTGAGAATCTGTCTCAAAAAATAATACTAATAATAAAAATGGCAAGTGTTTCTCTCAAACTTGTATATAGTTGATGCTTGAACAGTGTGGGGGTTAGGGGTGCCAACCCCCATGCGGTTGAAATGCCACATACAACTTTTGACACTTAACTCGTAATATTTTGACACTCCGAAAACTTAACTACTGATATAGCCTACTGTTGACCAAAGGCCTTACTGATACACAGTTACAATAAAGTAAGCTCGAGAAAAGAAAATGTTACTAAGAAAAGCATAAGAAAGTGAAAATATATATACTATTTATTAAGTGGAAGTGGATCATCATGAAGGTCTTCATCCTGGCTGAGGAGGAGGAGGAAGAGGAGGTGTGGACTTGCCCTCAGGGGTGGCAGAGGCTAAAGGAAATCCACATATAAGTGGATCTGCACAGTTTGGGCCCGTGCTGGCCAAGGGTCAACTGCGATTGTTTTGAGTATATTTCTATATTTTAAAGCACTTTACCTTAAAAAAAAAAAAAAAAAAAAGATACAAGGCAGGGCGCAGTGTTTCATGCCTATAATCATAGCACTTTGGGAGGCCAAGGTGGGTGGATCACAAGGTCAGGAGTTCAAGACCAGCCTGGCCAACAGTGAAACCCCGTCTCTCCTAAAAATACAAAAGTTAGTCAGGCATGTTGGCGTGTGCCTGTAGTCCCAGCTACTGGGAGGCTGAGGCAGGAGAATCACTTGAAACGGGGAGGTGGAGGTTGCAGTGAGCCAACATCACACCACCGCATTCCAGCTTGGGCAACAAAGTGAGACTTTGTCTCAAAAAACAACAAAAAATTAGATTTGAGAGTACAAGTGCCATTTTGTTACATGGATATATTGCATGGTGATGAAGTCTGGGCTTTACCCATCACCCAAATTGTGTTCATTGTTGCTTTTTTTTTTTCTTTTGTAGCAAAGTGGAAGATGCATTCTACAAAGGTCAACTCAGACTGAATGAGGAAAAATTATGGAAGAAAAGCAGAACGGTGAGATACTAACCTAAAATGACAGCCAGATGTTTTCATCACTTACTCTGCTAGTAACTCAATTAATGCTGCCCCAAATTTTCCCTCTGGCTCCTCTTCCTTCTCTGAGGTCCTCTGTGGTCCTCCAGCTCAAGCTGGTGGGAATCAGCTACAGGCTTCAGACACAGGCACTTTCACTTTTGCAGCCTTAATGACTTTCTGATGAAGCTTCTCCCTTTTAAAATTTTAGAATACGCCACTGTTCGAAATGGCAGAAATCCATTAATTAAACTTCCAGGTCATTAATGTTAGCCCTCATGGAATCCACATAATCAGATTTCAAAGAAACATTTGATCCATGTAGAGTTGTTCTTTGGCCAGTGGTATCTGAGCAGATGTGTGGTTCTGTACAGCTCAGCAGTACCCAGTGAGTGCTTGCTGGATGCACAGCTTTGTGTGCAGAGCAGCTATAAAAAATGATGTGTTCTGTATTTTCTGACAAGTCCATATCAATACTGTTGTTAAGTGAAAGTCAGTTACAAGAAAATGTGTTTCCAGTCTCCACTTTTCTAACAATAAATCATATATAAAAATTCACAGTGGCTCATGCTTATAATCCCAGCACTTTGGGAGCTGAGGCCTGCGGATTACTTGATCCCAGGAGTTCAAGACAAGCCTGGGCAGCATGGCAAAGCTCTGTTTCTACAAAAAATACAAAAACTTAGCCAAGCGTGGTGGCGGGCGCTTGACCCAGCTACTTGGGAGGCTGAGATGGGAGGATTACCTAAGCCTGGGAGGTCAAGGCTGCAGTGAGCCATAATCATGCCAGTGCACTCCAGTTTGGGTGACAGAGTGAGACCCTGTCTCAAAAAAAAAAAATTCTGTCCAGACACAGTGGCTAACGCCTGTAATCCCAGCACTTTGGGAGGCCGAGGCAGGCGGATCACAAGGTCAGGAGATCGAGACCATCCTGGCTAGCATGGTGAAACCCATCTCTACTAAAAATACAAAAAAAAAATTAGCTGGGCGTGGTGGCGGGCACCTATAGTGCCGGCTACTCTGGAGGCTGAGGCAGGAGAATGGCATGAACCCAGGATACAGAGCTTGCAGTGAGCTGAGATGGCGCCACTGCACTCCAGGCTGGGCAACAGAGTGAGACTCCCATCTCAAAAAAAAATTCTGTTAGAAAATATGTTTTTGTAAAAGTAAATTACATATATATACACATCTGGAATTACAATGCTGCTATTACTAGTATTTATCTTTAAGTGAAACATTATGGATTATGTTAATTTTCTTCATGCTTTTTATTTTCTGAATTTTTTTACCATGCGTATGTATCACTTTCATAATTGGAAAAAACAATACTGGTAATAAAAGTTAACAAAACACAATAAAAAGGTATGACAGAGACCCTTAAAAAGTGTGGAAGACACAAGACATGTGAGGTGTTGGAAGACATAGTAACTCCGTGTTCAGGGAACAAAGGTTCCAGAGAAGTTAGATGTACTTTGGAGATTGTTTTGATTTAATCTTTCATATTTCAAAATATCCCTGGGGTTGGAGGATCCAAGCTACATCCGGTTGCCCTAGGACACGGGACATTGAGGCTGTCAGCTGTGCATTTGGGTGAGCACTGAGGCTTCCTGCAGTCCTTGCTAACTGGGATCATGCAGGTTCTTGCAGCTCTGTGGGCAGAAGGAGGGAAAAGTCCCCCATGCTGTCTCAGCCCCCAAGTCCCAAGGCACTGGTGATGCCCCTGACTTGAACTGACAGGCTGGGACTGTGGCTGTTAGCTGTTGCTCAGTGAGCTGCATGCAGTCATAAACCCTTCTCATCTCTGAATTGCTTTTTCCTCCTTTAGCCTGCCCTCCTTCTAAGCTGTAGTATTCCAAAAACAAGATGTGTTCTTGGAGTAAAGAATGATTACTCCCTGAAAACCCTGTCTCTGTGCTGGGGTCTCATTTACAAACCCCACTAGACTATTTTTCTCCCCCCACCGTTTTGTGATGTTGTTAACTACAGCCTAATTGCTGCTGCTTCATTCTGCCTTGGGTGTTCTGTTGTCTCAGCTGCCTTCCAGGTTTCTTGTGAGGGTCAGCAAAGGAAGGGGGCATTATTAACACTCAGCTGTCTTGTTACTAGGAGGCCTGGTAGCCATGGAAACTGCAGCTAACTGGAGATCTGAAATGTAGATATTTGGAACAGCCCCTAATCCCAGCCAGTTTTGCTTTGTGTCTGCTGAGGGACAGGGCCATGCAGGGGAATAAAGAATGCCTCGCCTTCCCTGGTCGGCTCTGTGGAGCCTGTGCCTGGCTGCTGACCCCAAAGGGTCAGGTGCTTGTCTGATGCTGCAGCTCTAACCCTCGCTGCCTGCAATTCAGCAAAGCTTTTCTTTGAGCTGAAAACCAGGTGAAACCCAGGGTGTGGTAGGTGTTGGGTAATTGTTGATTAAACAGTGGCTGTGTGGTGCCCAAGTATGGGGAGTGAATCCTTCCTAAACTCATCTCTTCCTGGGATCAGTCGGGTAAAGGAGGAACACCCCTTCTCTACGCTACAAGGAAGCCCCAAAGGGATTCATTCCTTAGCCACACACTAGCCTGCTCTTTAGAGAAGCAGACATCATGCACAATATCTCTATGAAAGGATATACATAGAGTATCCTTTTCTTTGTATCTCTTCTTTTCTTTTCTTTTTCCTTTTCCTTTTTATTTTTATTTTATTTTGGAGACAGGGTCTTGCTCGGTTTCCCAGGCTGGAGTGCAGTGGTGCAGCCATAGCTCGTTGCAGTCTTGACTTCTGGGCTCAAGTGATCTTCCCACCTCAGCCTCCCGAGTAGCTGCTATGACAGACACACCACCATGTCTGGCTATTTTTTTATTTTTTATAGAGACAGGGTCTCACTGTGTGGTCCAGGCTGGTCTTGAACTCCTGACCTCAAGTGATCCGCCCACCTTGGCCTCCCAAAGTGCTGAGATTACAGACATGAGACACCACACCTGGCCTATATACCTTTTCTTCGTATACCCTTTTGTATCTTCTAAATTTTGTATCACATGCATATATTACTTATTGAAAATGAATTGTAGGCCAGGTGCAGTGACTCACACCTGTAATCCCAGCACTTTGGGAGGCCAAGGCAGGCGGAACACTTGAGACCAGGGGTTCGAGACCAGTCTGGCCAACATGGTGAAACCCCGTCTCTACTAAAAAAACAGAAAGTTGGCCGGGCGCGGTGGCTCAAGCCTGTAATCCCAGCACTTTGGGAGGCCGAGACGGGCGGATCACGAGGTCAGGAGATCGAGACCATCCTGGCTAACATGGTGAAACCCCATCTCTACTAAAAAATACAAAAAACTAGCCGGGCGAGGTGGTGGGCGCCTGTAGTCCCAGCTACACGGGAGGCTGAGGCAGGAGAATGGCGTGGACCCAGGAGGCGGAGCTTGCAGTGAGCTGAGATCCGGCCACTGCACTCCAGCCTGGGTGACAGAGCGAGACTCTGTCTGAAAAAAAAAAATAATATAATAATAATTTGAATGAAATAAGGCACCCTCCCTTTCTTTCTTTCTTTTTTTTTTTTTTTTTTTTTTTGAGATGGAGTCCCCTGCTGTCGCCCAGGCTGGCATGCAGTGACACAATCTCAGCTCACTGTAACCTCCACTTCCCAGGTTCAAGTGATTCTTCTGCCACAGCCTCCCGAGTATCTGGGGTCACAGGCACCCACCACCACACCCAGCTAATTTTTGTATTTTTAGTAGAGATGAGGTTTCACCATGTTGGCCAGGCTGGTCTCGAACTCCTGACCTCAGGTGATCCACCCAGCTTGGCCTCCCAAAGTGCTGGCATTACAGGCCTGAGGCACCGCACCTGGCCGAGGCACCCTCCCTTTCATGCTGAGGCACTGGGGATAGGTGACAGTGACCGAGGTCAGGGCCTTTTCTCACTTGCCCCTCCTCTGGATCGTGATCATGTGGTGAAAACTCAAAGCAGTAGTGTTTGCATTGGCCTGGATTTCCTGAAGTGTAACCAAGCCTCCGTTTTCTTTTAATTTCCAGGTGAAAGTGGGAGATACATTGGATCTTCTCATTGGAGAGGATAAAGAAGCAGGAACAGAGACAGTTATGCGGATTCTCTTGAAAAAAGTGTTTGAAGAAAAGACTGAAAGTGAAAAATACAGAGTGGTGTTACGGCGGTGGAAAAGTTTAAAGTTGCCTAAGAAGAGAACATCTAAATAAATGGATTGCTTTTTACCAGTAAAGCTGCTTTCTAGTGGTAGAGGAAGGGGTCACCTGAAAAAGAGGACATTTTTATTAAAATAAAGTTCTCTTAGCATGTGTGGAATCTGCTGAGCCATTTTGTAGAAACTAGGATCCGTATCTGGAGACACTTCCCAAGGCCTGCCTTACCCCCACCCCCTGCCCACCTTGATCCATGCCCCTTTGACCTCCTCGTGTGAGAACCCCTTTGCCAGAGTGAGACGTGTGCAGAAGGAACTAAGCCCCAGAGGGTTTTAATGGCTTGCCTGCTGTTTCCCACATAAACTACCTCAGGAGTCATTGTAAAATAAACTGGCCTTGTTGTGTCTTAGTGTTTTTATTTAAAATGTTCCCTGTCCAGCGGGGCCAGCTTCCCAGGTTCAGGTTTCTTTAGACAAAACCAAGCAAAGTCAAGGGTACTTTCAGATGTTAGGGGATAACCTCTGGGAGAGCCCTTTCTCCCCTGCCCTTCCGAATTACCAGTGGCGGGGGGCCTTAGTTCCCTTCAATTTGTCTTCACAAGTCTGGATGAATAGAGTTTTTCTAGCTAATTTCAAACCAGCTAGTTAGAGCCCATTTGAAATTATTAGTTTAGGGCAGGGGTCCATAAACGAAGGCAGCCAAAGACTTGTGTTTCTGTGGCCCTTGAGCCAAGAATGGTTTTTACATCACGCATGCACACACACACACAGCCAGAGACCTTCTGTGGCCCACAAAGCCTAAAATACTTACTTTAAAAAAAATAAACCTTTTGGCTGGGCACAGTGGCTTACACCTGCTAACTTGCCATTTTGGGAGGCCAAGGCAGGTGAATCACTTAATCCCAGGAGTTTGAGATCAGCCTGGGGGCAACATAGACTTCATCTCTCTCAAAAAAAAAAAAAAAAGACATATTTTTGTAGAAGGCGGTTCTCACTCTGTTGCCCAGGCTGTCTCCAACTCCTGGGCTCAGGTGACTGTCTCACTTTGGCTTCCTAAAGTGCTGGGATTACAGGCATGTGCCACTGTACCTGGCCAAAGTCTAAAATATTTACTATCTACCCCTTTACAGAAGAAGTTTTTTGACCCCTAGTTTAGGATAATCGGTAAGGGTTTAATTTTCGGGTGAAAGTAAACATACCTGTTTTATCAATGAAGAGGATAAAACCAATTCTAATTCTCAAAGTGTCATAAAATGGATGAAGGCTTACCAGAGTAGTGTGGTGGGGTAGACACACACATGATGTACATCATCTAAGAAAGGACCTGTGGATGAATAGGCCAGGCTATAGATTCCCAGGAGCTGTTTGCTGGCACTTGGAGAGGTTACCTCCAATAAGAGACTTGTTAGATTATGTCACATCAAAAAGACTGGCTGGCCCAGGCACAGTGGCTCACACCTGTAATCCCAACACTTTGGGAAGCAGAGGCTTGAGGTCAGGAATTTGAGACCAGCCTGGCCAACACGGTGAAACCCCATCTCTACTACAAATACAAAAATTAGCTGGGCATGGTGGCAGGCACGTGTAATCCCAACTACTCAGGAGGCTAAGGCAGGAGAGAATCGCTCGAACCTGGGAGGCAGAGGTTGCAGTGAGCAGACATCGCGCCCCTGCACTCCAGCCTGGGCGACAAGAACAAGACTCCATCTCAAAAAAAAGAAAAAAAGACCCTGTATCTGGGCTCTTATTTATCCCCCAGGAATTCCTGAGAATCCTTAACTGGCAGTGAAGAGAAACTTCTGTAGCCCAAAGCAGTGGGATGTTTGGGCTCATGTGTCTGGAACTGTTAACCACCTTATTTATTTATTTTTTTTTTTTTGAGACAGACTCTTGCTCTGTCACCAGGCTGGAGTGCAGTGGCACGATCTCGGCTCACTGCAACCTCCGCCTCCCAGGTTCAAACGATTCTCCTGCCTCAGCCTCCCGAGTAGCTGGGATTACAGGTGCCCGCCACCATGCCCGGCTATTTTTTTTGTATTTTAAGTAGAGATGGGGTTTAACCATGTTGGTCAGGCTGATCTCGAACTCCTGACCTCATGATCCGCCCGCCTCAGCCTCCCAAAGTGCTGGGATACAGGCGTGAGCCACCATGCCCAGCTGTAAAGAGATCATTTTTTAACATGAACTCCTCATAACTTTTTTTTTTTTTTTTTGAGATGCAGTCTCACTCTGTCGCCCAGGCTGGAGTGCAGTGGCACAATCTCAGCTCACTGCAACCTCTGCCTCCCGGGTTCAAGCGATTCTCCTGCCTCAGCCTCCTGAGTAGCTGGGATTACAGGTGCGCACCACTACACCCAGCTAATTTTTGTATTTTTAGTAGAGATGGGGTTTCACCATGTTTGTCAGGCTGGTCTTGAACTCCTGACCTCATGATCCACCCGCCTCAGCCTCCCAAAGTGCTGGGATTGCAGGCGTGAGCCACCAAGCCCAGCATAACATCTTTCTTATACACACAAGCCTCACAGCCCGCTGCTTCTGCCTTTTGGTAGCTGCTACCTCCCAATCTATAGCTTGAAATTTCTGGAAGGGCACTGAAACTGAATGTGGCTTTCCAAATTTACTATTCCTCTCAAAGACACGCTGTGCTGGCCGTTTTTTGTTTGTTTGTTTGTTTGTTTGTTGTAAAGTCTTTTGTTCAACAATATTGCTAACAGATTGGGTAAATATAATATCAAAAGTAGGATGGTCCTGAAGGCATGGATCCCGATACACTTAACTTTTTTTTTTTTTTTGAGGTTGAGTCTTGCTCTGTTGCCCCGGCTGGAATGCAATGGTACAATCTCGGCTTGCTGCACCCTCTGCCTCCTGGGTTCAAGCGATTCTCCTGCCTCAGCCTCCCGAGTAGCTGCAATTACAGATGTCTGCCACCACGCCTGGCTAATTTTTTGTATTTTTAGTAGAGACGGGGTTTCGCCATGTTGGCCAGCCTGGTTTGGAACTCCTGATCTCAGGTGATCTACCCACCTCGGCCTCCCAAAGTGCTAGGATTATAGTCATGAGCCACCACGCCTGGCCAATGGGACTTTATTCTTAAAGTTGGTGAGACCTTCCCTAAGGCAGACAAGTGAAGTCCTAAAGACTACAGTCAAGGCCAGACCACAGGTGTCTAAAATGGAGAATTTCTGTTTAGAGGTCAAGTAAGGACTCGCTTCTGGAGTCTCACTCGGAGTCACTATTAGACGCTTCTTCATAGAATTTTTGTTAGGATTGTAGGAGAAATCCCTTAATTTTTTTTGTTTTGTTTTTTTGCTTTTTTGTTTTTGTAACCCTTATTTTGCTTAAATCCTTTAATTCTTGATTCTAAGACAGACAAATGAAAGGTGAGCCTGGGCCGGGCGCGGTGGCTCAAGCCTGTAATCCCAGGACTTTGGGAGGCCGAGACGGGTGGATCACGAGGTCAGGAGATCGAGACCATCCTGGCTAACACGGTGAAACACCGTCTCTACTAAAAATACAAAAAACTAGCCGGGCGAGGTGGCGGGCGCCTGTAGTCCCAGCTACTCGGGAGGCTGAGGCAGGAGAATGGCGTGAACCCGGGAGGCGGAGCTTGCAGTGAGCTGAGATCCGGCCACTGCACTCCAGCCTGGGTGACAGAGCGAGACTCCGTCTCAAAAAAAAAAAAAAGAAAAGAAAAAAAAGAAAGGTGAGACTGAAATGATGGTGGCTAACTCTTTGGATGTAAGCAATGCAATCAGTATTAACTACCTGACGAGAAGGTACCCATCACCACGGCCTTCCTTACCTATGCTGAAGTATATGCCTCTTTATGCATGGAACTGTGCCTGGGTTAAGATTTCAGCTTGTCCAAACCAAGGAGGAGAGGCATGTCGAATACCCTGTGTCAGAAAGAACACAAGCTACACCAGAAACACCAGGGCTCTCGAATTCCGCTGTCAGCACTCACAGCACACTTAGCAACTATATATCAGTCTCTGGAGAAACAGGAGTCCGGAAACACTGCAGTCCCTGCAGGTGTGCCTCAGGCCAGAGCCCAGCCCGATTCCATCTGCATGGCCTCAGCTGTCTGCACTGTGAGGAGGAGCCAAGCTTCCCAGTCTGGTTCTATCTTTGCACATCTTGAAAACTGGCTTCAGGTAACAGATGTCAGGTTTTGTGCTCTTTACTACCAGAACCTTCTCTTCAAGCTCAAATGGGCTTTATTTATTTATTTATTTATTTATCTATTTATTTATTTATTTATTGAGAGAAGTCTCGCTCTTGTCCCCCAGGCTTGAGTGCAATGGCTTGATCTCGGCTCACTCTTACCTCCGCCTCCTCCGCCTTCCAGGTTCAAACGATTCTCCTGCCTCTGCCTCCCAAGTAGCTGGGATTACGGCGCCTGCCACCACGCCTGGCTAATTTTTCTATTTTTTTTAGTATAGACGGGGTTTCACCACATTGGCCAGGCTGGTCTCGAACTCCTGACCTCAGGTGATCCACCCGCCTCGGCCTCCGAAAGTGCTGAGATTACAGGCATGAGCTACCAGGCCCGGCAAACTTCTTAACTATCAACTCACGAGGCTGGGACTTGTTAGAATTACGGATCACTGCCCAGCAGATAGCTGATCTTCCAAATGTATTTGCTGAATGAATCAACTGCCTTAGAGGCAGAGATACTCTTACTGCATTCCTTAGTCTATTTTCTGTAGCATTGAAAGATTTTCTGGTTTTGGGGGGATTGTTTTTTACTTTTTGTTTTTTAAGACAGAGTTTCGATCTTGTTGCCCAGGCTGGAGTGCAATGGCACAATCTCGGCTCACTGCAACCTCCACCTCCCAGGTTCAAGCGATTCTCCTGCCTCAGCTTCCCAAGTAGCTGGGATTACAAGCACCTGCCACCATGCCCAGCTAGTTTTTTGTATTTTTAGTAGAGATGAGGTTTCACTATGTTGGCCAGGCTGGTCTCGAACTCCTGACCTCAGGTGATCCACCTGCCTCAGCCTCCCAAAGTGCTGGGATTACAGGCGTGAGCCCCTGCACCCGGCCAGTTTCCTGGGTTATACTCTCTCACTAGGGCGATCCAGAAGCCCAGAAATAGTGGACAGTCAGCAAAACCCCAAGTTAAATCACAGGAACCACTAGGCAGAGACACAGAGAAATAGATTTACTTGGCACAGCTATGTAAGTGGCAGCACAGGAATGAAGAGCACAGACTTTGGAGTCAGCCTGGCCTCCGTTAGAAGCCCCAGCTCTGCCAGCTATTTGACCTTGGCCAAGATACTTAACTCTGGAAGCATCCATTTCCCCATCTGTAAAATGGATTTCTGTAAGGATTAAATGAACTGACATATATCA